GTCACCTGTTGTCAAAAGTTACATGCTTTCCTGTCAGAAAGTTCCCAGGCAACACAATATATCAACACAACTCTGTCACTGGGAGTGCTCCTTATGTCACAGCATAAAGGCCCTGCCCCTATGCAGATAGATCAAAAGGGCTTGTTGACTTTCTGATGTGGCTCTCAAATTTGCTTTTCAATCCTTATAGCACTTGTGTTAAGTTGACTAACCAGATCTGTGTGCCACGGGAGCATTGTTCTGTGATCTGAGGAAAGAATTTATTACATTGAATTTATTATGTAATAATATTTTCAAAAGAAATGCATAGAAGCATTTCTCTCCCTAAGCTCTTCCTTTCCCTACTCTGTAACTGACATGTAGAAAACCTGGCAGTCTACTTTTTAAGTGGTGGCTACTACTTCTCATGCAACGGGACCTGTGTGGGCTGTTCTGTCCTCTTGTTAGATGGCCCTTACTTCTCTTTCCTGATGGTCAAGGGAAGTGAGGAGAGCATATATGGAGTGTGCTGACTTGAGTTGGGGTTGCTTTGAGAGTGTCCTGGGGCTTGGACTGTCCCATCCCTAGGTACTAATGGAGAATCATTAGTTTTGAGCTCACCTACTTAAAGAAACTTGTGTTTGTTTGTTTGAACATGAAACCCACTGAATTAGAGCCATCGGTGTGCTCCTGTGGCCCTCAGTGACTTCCTCAAAGGACCCCAGCTGGAACTGTATTGGGTTCACTTGCAGTCGGTCCTTGCTTGTGTCTTTTGCATCATGGTTATATATGGTCAGAACACATTCCTACTGGCTGTGTGCTACTGTATTCTTGACTTGTTAATATTGTTTATGTCCTCATTCTTTGGTAGAGTGTGATAAAAAGTGGGTGATTTTTATGAACAATAAATAAATAAAACTTAGTTTGGAGTCGAAAGGATGGCAAGAACCGTAGGCTGTTTCCCCTGTTTATAGCACTGGTTTCATGGTGATGATATACAAGAAGATGGAATTTCCCTTTTTATTGGATTTTGTGTACTACAGCTATCACAAACAGTGATGACCAGAGGAGGGTTACCTATAAAACAACAGCAGAGGTAAAGGTCATTGGCCGTGTAGCTCTCTAGAAGCCAGCCCTGCCCTGTGCTGCAGCTCCATGCTACCTGCAGGCAACTAAAGTCCTTTGTACCCGAGTCTTTTGTGAGTACTTGTTTTGGGGTAAAAACAAACTCGAAAGTCGGAGTTGTCATCACTTACAACCCCTCCCAGCAGACCCATGCAGTGACCATAGCAGAAAGAAAGCCTGTGCTGGCAGAGTGTGTTCTCTGTGGGGTGTCTGCCTTTTGCACATAAAGTGTTTGAATCGCAGTTACCTCAACGAAGGGACACAGGGCTTCTGTTTGTGCTTGGGGCATGTTTTGTCTGGTGGCAGCTTTCCTTTGTCTGCCTGTATGATGTTGTATTTGCTTCCTTTACACATTTTAATTGGTGAGCTGTCAAAATTTCTTATAGTGTTTTCTGGAAGTCTTCTGTCTGAGATTCCAAGAAGCCTGACTCTGACATGTCTCAACTTTCAGGTCTTTCCCATGCTGCCTTTTTGGGGCTGGGGCTATGGTGGTGGCTGCAGGAAGTTGCTGTGGGTGTGACTTGGGTGTGGTGGATCTTGTGTATAGTCGATGGTGGTTTTCATGTCCTTTCTGTTTAGATGCTCATTATACAGGGAGGCTGGGCACAGTTAGAGTGGGATGAACAGAATGAACAGGGTGAGCATTCCATTTCTCCTGTCAGGATGCCAGCAGACCCCTTGCTGGGCTATTCTGGCCAAGGCCTTGGCCATTTTGATTTCCCCTGAACTCCTTGGTCAGTATTCTGTGGTGTAATCTGGAGAGTCTGTCCATGTGGACTGACAGCCAAGACTATGGCATCCTCTCTCCTCCCAGGTGGTTGTCCTGAGTGCATGAGTGAGCTTGGCCACCTCTCTGAGGGCTCCATGCCTGCAAAGATGGTGAGGATGATAATGAGGAGGGTGCTCACATTTTTGGAGCAGAACAAATTTAATGAATTGACATTAAATGGACAACTTGGGTATTTTACTGAGAAAAGACACAGTCCAGTGAGTCACTCTGAATAGACTCTGGAATCCCTGATAATCTTTGTGCTCTGGGATCATGGAGGCAGCATCCGCCTCCCACTCACTGGGCCCTCATGTAAATGAAGTGTTAGTACATTGTGGCTGCCGAGGTTTGGTCCTGTGTTGCCTGTACTTGATTTTGTTCATCAGGGAGAACACTGCTGGCCCTGAAGCTACACTTCTCATCTCATCCATTCTGTTCCCCTCAAGCCCTTTCGGAGGAGGCCTGATAACTCCTACCCAAGCTGCTTGACACAGTAATGCCTAACTTGGAGATTTTCAAATCTTTGTTGAACAAATCATGGATTTTGCTTAATATTGTGAATAGTGTTGTGGTTTTTATTTTACAGTTGTATAGATTTAAGTTCTAAAAGAAAGACTAGTGACCTCTCTGGCCCTGTAATTCTTCACCCACTCAGGCCTGTGCTCACCGAGAATCTGATTCAGTGAAATGTTGATGAAGACAAGCCCTCATGTGTCAGCAAGTCTCCTGTGAAGATTGCCCTTTGGTGACCGTGTCATAAAGAGCAAGGTTCACAAGAGAGCCAGAAGCAGCCAGTCACACATACAGGGTTACAAACTACCTCATCAAAAAAATGCAAATCAAAGCAACAGATATGCTTTTGGGGGGCGGCAATTGGGATTTTTTTTTTTTTTTTTTAAACAGAATGGCCAAGATCACATTTATGACCCAAACTAGGAAAGCACCTCTGTGGGAAGAGTCCGCAGGCACTGTCGAACCTGAAATTACAGTTCTGACAACCGATGTGATCTTCACACGTGCTGAGAAATGTATCTGCAAGATACCTATTGCTTTATCATGTAAATCAGTTGTGTGAAAAATTAGAAAATTTCCCAGAACTCGCATGTAGAAGTAACCAGACTTTAAAAAGACAGAAATTCTGGGGCTGGAGAGATAGTTCAGTGGTTAAGAACATTTACTGTTCTTGCAGAGGACCTGGGTTTAAGTCCCAATACCCACATGACAGCTTGCAACCATCTGTAACTCCAGTTCCAGGGGATCTGACCTTTATTTCTGGCCTCCATGGGTGCTAGGTACTCATGTGATACATACATGCAGTCAAAACACCCATAAACATAGGATAACATTTTTTTAATGTTAAAAATCACAGAAATCAACTGAGTGTGGTGGTGCATACCTGTAATCCCAGCACTGAGGGAGGCAGAGGCAGTCGGATCTCTGTGAGTTCAAGGTCAGCCTGGTCTACAAAGCAAGTCCAGGACAGCCAAGGCTACACGGAGAAACACTGTCTCAAAAACAAAAAACAAACAAATCAAACATCACAGAAATCGCTGTAATTGACTTCTGTGAAGCCTGTGCATAGAAGTGTTTGTGTTTGACCCAGACTGTTGACCAGGATAATTTAAAGGAAGAACAGAGGTTGCACAGTGAATCCAATGGCTGGTGACAGTCCTCCAGGAACTTCGTAATGTGTCATTTGCACCCTGCATGTAAGAGATGGCCTAGAGAGCATATGACCCAACCAGTGTCAATTCAGGTAGGGAGAATGTGAGAGATGCCAACCTTTCTAACTTCACTGTTTAACTTGGGCATTTGACTTTGTGTGCAGAATAAATTAACACCGAGGTTCAATGAGGTGTCAGAAAGGCAGGTGCCATCTTGAACTTAATGCCTAAAAAGAAAGCTCCTTTAGTACCCCATGGGGTCTGGTTATTTTTTTGTTAAGATTTCTTAGATGTGGTGGTTATGTTCTCCAAGTTCACTGACAAAGGAGAGAGGACAGTACTGGCAGGGGTGCATGGGAGCAGTAAAGATGGCCAGATGAGCTTCTCTGAATTTGGCAAATACCATGTCTTCCCTGCCAGACTCTTCCAGGCTTCATAGATGCCATCTTTAGGTTTTAGATTCATTGTGACCTTCAGAACACAAGTGATGGAAACTTTGGGTCAGGGTTGTGAAGCTTTTGTAAATACTCAGCTATAAAAACTCAAAACCAGGTTATTTGCTAAAGCAAATGAATGCTTCTTCTTTTGAGCATTCCTCTTCTGAGCATGTGCAGCTTCTTTTCAAATTAGAATGAAATTTTGAAAATAATTAGAAATTCAAATTTCTCCTTTTTGGATATAAAAGTTACTTCTACAGCCACTTGAACATAATTTTATCTTTTCCTTTGTTCAAAATATTGAGAAATGTGAATTTTTTTTTTTTTTTTTTTCTCAGAGATTGGCAGATCTGCAGCTGAGGAGGCAGAGTGGAGCAGTGGTCACCCTGGCCAGGGGAAAGGTGCCTTTGCAGACTTGTGTTAGTAGGAGCAGTATCTTGCTCACAAGGCCCTGTGCCTCCAGTTAGGATGGCGTGGGTGGGTTTACTGGTTCTCTATGTACAGATGAGTTTTCTGACTGCTATGACCACATCTCTGACAGAAACAACACAAGGGAGGGAGAATTTTTTTGGAATCATGGTCTGCAGGGATATAGTCTGTTGTATCAGAAAAGGCAGCGCATGGTGAACATGACAACACTCTGGTATTGGCTGATATAATTCTTGGTGAGATGTGTTTTTTCTTATATGACTGCCTTCTTGCTGTCCTTACGTGGTAGAGAGGACAGGGGCTGCACACTCTGCTCTCTCCTCTTACAGGGACTCAGGTTCTATCAAAAGAGGCTACCCTCATGATCTCCAACCCCAATTTGTGTCCATCATGCTGGGGCCACAGCCTTGACATATTACTTTGGAGACACTGAGACAATGGGAGTGTCTTCGACAGATATTATTAGATGCCAGTGTTAAAGGCTTCAGGGCAGGAAAGAGGCTGCTAAAGTGTAAAGGGTGTATATAAAAGCTGTAGGCTACTGGCTCAGGGGATCCCCATTGGTTACATTAATATTTGGCATTTGTCTTTCTGTAGTGTCGTGTGGGAGCCGATGGGTGACGGGAAGAAGGTCATTTCCCTGGCGGACAGCCACATTCTGCTGTGGGACCTCCAGGAGAGCTCAAGCAAGGCTGTGGTGAGTAAGAAGGGAGAGGATCTCACTGGGTGATCTTTGGAATTGGACCTTTTGGCTGAATTCAGAATATACTTTCTGGTCCTCACATTTGGAATTTTAAAATTTATTGTTGCATAGGGAATGATACAGGGAACTAAGTGGGTACAAGTTGGAAGGATTGTGAGGTGCTACAGAGCCTCGCTGAGGGTGGTTTCAGGTTTAAGTTTGTTCTTTCTACAAGAGCTTTTTAAAGGTATGCTTCCTTAAAATCACGCAGTGACGAGGGACACTTACACAATCTTAACTTCATGTTACTGGCTAGCTTTCCAATGTATTTACACAAATTTTAAAAATAAATTGTAGCACTTCTTTGGAGTCACTTTGCTTTCAGATACTCATTTTGAATATTTTGTGGAGTTAAGGATTTTGTGTATTTGTCAAATTTGATTCCTTAAATCTTTCTTTTTTAAAAAGCATGTTTATAGGCATTCATAATTTCATTGTACTTGTTGTCAAAGTATCAGTTGTAGAAAGAAGAAAACTCAGGAACCCAGCAATGAAACCTTACAATGCCAGGTCACCAGGGCCCACATGGTCACCTTTCCAGCATCCTAGCGTGGGTTCCTCAGGTGGCCATGTCTTATGTTTATTTGTTCCGATAACGCTTACTGAGCTCTTTTCCCTCTTGGTGATTTACAATATTAATAATGCCCCTAGGTTAAAGAGAAAACATGAGTAATGATGCATCGTTATTAATATAAGGCATAGAGGCTAGACTTCTTAAAATATTAAGTGACTTTTTAAAGCTTAAAATCTCTGGCCACACTGTCAAGTAAAGTTTGGCCTGTTTTGCTAGAGCACTGATAATATTTAAGGGAAAAAAAAATCATATTAAAGAGATACATCACCACATTATGTATAATAGCCCCAAATCCAGGGGAGTTTTTATGATAAAAAGATCAGACAGGAGAGGTAATTCCTGGGCTATCCCATGGACAGGTCCAGAGCTGGGAACACACTCACAGCCCCCATCCTTAGGAGATATGATGGAGGGCTGTAGTCAGCCAGCCCTCCAGTTCCTTCTTTGGCCGTGCCTTAGCTGTCATGGTTTCAGAAGGAAAGGGACTTCTCACGCCAAGCAGGCTTTGTTGTGACTCTGGGAAAGACATAGCACAGCCTGCCAAACATTCTTGGTGTCCCTGAGCAGAGAGTGTGCCCAGCAGAGGCCTAGGGGACCACACTCTGGAGTTGGGAAGGCCTCTTGCCCTTTGCTGTCCTGCACTGTGGTCAGCTAGTAAACACATCTTAACACCCCAAGTCATCACTAAAGCATTACATGTCGGGGTGATTAATCTGTAACTTATTTTCTGCAGAGACCAATTTAGTTTTCTCTCCCCCTTTTTTATCTGCTGTCAGCAGTTCTGTCAATATCCCTTTGTGACCCAGTGCTGTGGTATTTAATACAGAAACCTTCCCATCGATTGCAGCCTCCTCATACTGGCTTCTCCTTTTCTATTGTTTGAGGATATTGCCTTCTGTGGTGAATTTAATCTTATGCTCACTGCATCATTACCTTCTGCAATTAAATTGGAGATCCTTTGCCATTTATAATCATTAGTTGAACCCTGGGGAGGCCTGGAGTGGGAGGGTCTGTGGGGTGTGTGGACACCGACGAAGGCATGGGCGGCTTCCCCGTTTCCATCTGCTCACTCATCTCCATGTCTGTTCCCTTCACCCCTGTGGACATCAGTGGATCTGTCAAGGGGCAGAGCTGAGACCCTAGTGGTGCCTCTTGTAGTGTCCACACAGGAGTTCCTTGGGGTGATGGCTTTTACACGGGGTAGTTCCTTCAGAGACACAGTGCTGCCTGAAGTAGTTCTTCTTCTTCTTCTTCTTCTTCTTCTTCTTCTTCTTCTTCTTCTTTTGCTATTAATTTATTAATCACTTTACAGTCTGTTCACAGCCCCCTCCCTCCTCATCTCCTAATCCCACACTCCAGCCCTAAGTAGGAGAGGTTGTGCTTAGCCCTGCTGAGACTTAATGTGCTGAAGGAGTTGGTAACAATGTTGAGGGGGGGAGGCTCCCCTTTTCAGAGAAGGAAAGGGGGAATGAGAGAAGAGGGCAGCCCAGCTAAGAAAAAGGGATCCAAAGGCAGGCAACAGAGTCAGAGACAGCCGCTGCTCCAATTGTTAGGGGACACACAAGATGACCAAGCTGCACGTTTGCTACATATGTATAGGCAGTCTAGGTCCAGCCAAAGTATGCCCTTTGGTTGGTGGTTCAGTCTCTGAGCCCCCATGGGCCCAGGTTAGTTTACTCTGTAGGTCATCTTTTGGTATATTTGATACCTATCCCACCCTACCCTGGTTTCCTCTATCCTTCCTTCCACTCTTCCATAAGACTACCCAAGCTCCTCCTATTGTTTAGCTGTGGGTCTCTGTGTCTGTTTCTATCATCTGCTGGATAAAACCTCTCAGAAGAAAGTTATGCTAGGCTCCTTTCTGCAGTCATAGCAGAGTTTCATTGATAGTGTCAGGGGTTAGCTATCTCCCATGGGGTGGGTCTCAAGTTAGGCCAATCATTGGTTGGCCTTTCCCTCAATCTCTACTCCATCTTTTTCCCTGCCCTTTTTATAGGCAGGAGAGATTTTGGGATGGAGGTTTTATGGGAGGGTTGGTGTCCGCTTCCCTCCACTGGAAGTCCCACCTGGTTACAGGAGGTGATGACTTCAGGCTTCATATCCCATTTCATCCCATTCTACTATTTAATTTGGTATTGACTATTGCCTTGCTGTATATTGCCTTTATTATACTTATGGGCCTTGTATCCTTGATCCTCCAAGACTTTTGTTATGAAGCAGTGTTAGATTTTGTCAGAGGCCTTTTTAGGATCTAATGAAATGATCATGTGGAGTTTTATTTGTTTGTTTGTTTGTTTTTTAACTTTTAGTTTGTTTATATGGTGGATTACATTGCTGTATTTTTGTATATTGTACTATCCCTGCCTCTCAGAGATGAAGCCTGCTTGATCATGGTGGATGATGTTTTGTTTTGTTTTTGGTATTGGCTTTTGAAATAATTTTAATTTAATATTTTAAAATTTATATATTCACTTTGCATGCAGATAGTAGTTCCTTCTCTCTTTTTCTCCTGGCTCCTCTCCCTCCAATCCTCTTCCCCCTATCCCTCCTCCTTTTTTTTTTTTTTTTTTTTTTTTCAGAAAGGTTGAAGCCCCGCCCACCACTACTAACTCACTCCAGCACATCAAGTTGCATCAAGATTCAGCTCATCCTCATCCACTGAGGCTGGGCAAGGGAGCCCTGTTAGAGGGAAGTGACGGAAAGCAGGCAACAGAGTCTATGTCATAGACAGCACCTGCTCAACTTACTAGGGAACCCACATGAAAATCAAACTGCCCATCAGTTACATATATGTAAGTGTAGGCATAAGGTTATTGTTTATTTCAAATTCTGATTTCTGAACCTCCATATCTGGTTGCAATCCTTATTCTGAGAATCTCCTGTTGTGTAAACACCGCAACCCATTTTTCCCCTGATATGCCAATAAAACAGCTCAGCCAAAATTGATGAGTAGAGAATAAGCCTGGAGTTCCTGCCATCCAGGGGAGGAGGAATTAGAAGAGGAAGTAGGGGATTCAACCACAGGAGTTGTCCAGGAGGGACCAGGAGAAAGAGCTCAGCAAGAAAAGCTACTAAGTGCAAGTATATCTGGGATATACTCTGGGAGAAAATCAATTTAGTTTAGAGGGTAACAATAGAGTAAAAGCCGCTCAGTTATTGTGTTCTGAAGCTTATTATTAAACAAATATAAAAAAAAGTCTTGATTATTTATGTCATAGCTACGTTAAGAGACAAACTTAGAAACAAACAGTTTTGTAAAAACAATCCTAACCGTGTAGAGGGCCTAGGTCCAGTCCATGCATGTTCTTTGTTGGTGCTTCCGTCTCTGTATGAAGGGGCTGGTCATGGTATTGTATGTTTTTTTTTTTTTTTTTAAGAGTTATTTATTATTTATACAGTTTTCTGCCTGCATGCCAGAAGAGGGCACCAGATCTCATTATAGATGGTTGTGAGCCACCACATGGTTGCTGGGATTGAAATCAGGACCTTTTGAAGAACAGTCAGTGCTCTTAACCTCTGAGACATCTCTCAAACCCATGTTGTATGCTTTTAATCCCAGAAGATGCAAGCAGATCTCTGTGAGTTCAAGGCCAGTCTGATCTACAAAGTGAGTCCAGGAGTCCAGGACAGCCAAGGCTACACAGAGAAACCCTGTTTCAAAATTTATATATATCTATATATAGTTGTTTGTTTTATCATATATATATATATGTATATATATATATACATATATATAAACAATATATATATTATTTGTTTTATCATGGAATATGTTGTTTTCTGCATCTAAGGTGTTTGAAAGTTTTGCTGGATATAGAAGTCTGGATTGCCATTTGTAGTCTCTTTTGGTTTGCTTAATATCTGCCACATCATTTTGGTTTTTAAGAGTCTCTGTTGAGAAGTCGGGTGTTATTCTAAGAGGTCTGCCTTTATACGTTAATTGGCACTTATACATTGCAGCTTTTAATATTCTTTCTTTGTTTTGTACATTTAGTGTTTTGATTTTTATGTGGGAGGAGGATTTGGTGTTCAATCTATTTGGTGTTCTGTGAGTTTCTTGTACATTTATAGGCCTCTCTTTCCTTTAGGTAGGGAAATTTTCTTCTGTGATTTTGTTGAATATATTTTCTGGGCTTTTGAGCTGGGAATCTTCTATTCCTATTATTCTTAGGCTTGGTCTTTTTATGGTGTACCAAATTTCCTAGATGTTTTGTGTTAGAAACCTTTTAGATTTAGCATTTTCTTTGACTGATGTCAGTGTTCTTTATTGTATGTTCTACGTCTGAGATTCTCTCTTCCATCTCTTGTATTTTGTTGGTGATGTTTGTGTCTGTAGTTCCTGTTCTCTTTCCTAGGTTTTCTGTCTCCAGGATTGGCTCAG